AATTTAGAAACCAATGGGCCTCTAATAAACCAATAGGGGCGTGACTAACCATCCCCACCCAGTCCTCAAACAGGCCACGCTCAGCTTTTTAGCGCAGAGCAACTTCCCGGAGTCTTCACGGAGACTTCAGGGTTGTCTACCGCTGACGAAGCTTCTGTGAGAGAAGCGAAACGTCCTTTTTTGCTTTTTGTTTTTGTTTTTTTGTTTTTTTTTTTTGTTTTTTACCCACAGGTACAGATGACGACTGACAGAACCCTTTCTACGATGGAACTTTCCTGTACGACTGAGCGCCTCCACAAGCATCATGTGATGTAGAAAAAAACCACTCCATTTACCGTTGTTTACAAGGCAGCAGGTTTAGGAAACTGTTGTTGCTTGACGATGGTTTGTGGCCACAGCTATATGTGATTATTACTTTTAAACCAAAGTGTTTGCCATGTCTTCCATCCATGAAATAAGAATCATGTAAACTTAGGGAGTTGAAGATCATGTCTCTCCCTTGCAGTGTAGCTATTTTGACAGCTAGGGGCGCCATTCTGCAAGGGTGTTGAGAAAAAAAAGAATGAAAGGGGTGTTTCAAAAGTTATAAACAGAGATTATACATTAATAGGCCAGAGGACATCTCCAGGCTCAAGCGCTTCACAGTGTTCTTTCTGGGCCACCTCCTGCTAACCGGTAAGATATTGTGCTTGTCTTTCTGCTTCTTGTTCACTTGCTAAGAAAGGATTCTTTGCAACATGATGAAAAAAAAACTGCACATGTACACAATTTGTACAGTGGGCACCTACTCCAGTTTTGACACCACGTGTTAATTTAAACATTTATAATACTAGTTGAATGCTGTTTTTATGAAATAAATTTGCAAATCGTATCCTAATTTCAGATGTAATCGTAGGCCTACATGGAAAGTTGTTTTGTTACTCATGACTGAATGGAAATGTGATGAAAGCCCACGGCAATCTATTTAGTTTCTCGAACGTCAAATCTAAATTCATGCAATGGCGAACAATCTGAGTGGCAAAGTCAGAATGAATTCCCCATGTGAAGTCAAGTTAGATGCTGTTCAAGCAAGATAATGTGTGCGCTCGGGGGGTAAAGTACATTCTGCCCAGTGACGTGCAGTGAGATTCGCGACTGGTGAGGCAATCCTTGCCCAGAGTGGGGTCGAAAAATATGAAGCCGAAAAAGATTAGCCTTATTACAATTATGAGCTGCAGTAAAACATGTCTCAAATAAGGTCAACATTTAATTTTTGAATGTTGCTTTTCAAAGCTTAAATTGTTTCAATTGATTTCACACTGGTCAACAACATGGTAGCAACAAAAGCTAAATATTTAATATAAGCCCACGTTTGCTGGTTTAGGGGGAGATCTCTAAGTTAAAAAAAAACATTTGATCCAGTGTTAATTTCCTTGAATAAAAATGTTCGTCATTCTTTTCGTCACACTTTTTTTTTTAAACGAAAACAAAAATAGAAGTCATGCCTCGATACTATAACTAAATTGATTGACAATTTCGTCAACAAATACAAGATGAACGATTTCACCGCAGACACTCGGCCAGCCCAGGTATCCAACCACAGTACTTTCATTAAGATCTAATGTTGCATTCCAAAATAAAAGTCCTCTGGAATCTGACATTTCGACTCTTTAACCTCATTAAAATAACATTTCAAAAAAGTCATTAAAAAATTGAATTTTAGGTATACCCGCAACCGGACCAGGTCTAGGGATCACCAAACACAATACTTTCATTAAGATCTCATGTTGCATTTCAAAATAAAAGGTCGCTAAAATCAGCACATTTGTCCTTTCATTCAGATTTGTTTTTGCATAAAAAATAAACAAAAAAAAAACCTGCTGAAATCAGCAATTTCAACCATTGAACCTTATTTATCTTACAACCAGTCTAGTCCTGGGGGACATACTCGTCCTGGGGGACTACAATCTGTTGTTGTATTTGAAAATACAGTTCCATGGAAATTATGGGTTGTCATAATTTGACTACAGTGAATAACAGTTAAAATTGGCATTCAAGCCACAAAGCCATTCTTTACGTGTATACCATTGCGTTTGAACAGAACAAGTAGTTTACCGTCTTTTCCCGATTCCTGTTGTTTGAAGCAAACCTGGTAGTTCTGGCGTCGGTCTCCCAGTATTTATCATTTCCTGCTTTGTTTGAAAGTCCATCTTTGAAAAATGTCTTAGTTTGGAAATTAAATCATTCATTTTCAGGGCGAGAAATGACAGCTTGTAATGTCGCACAGCACACTTCTTGTTTACTTTTGCACATGGGTTAGAGTTCACATGACCTGGCTGGTGGCAGGTTGTCAGGCAGCTCACTATCGCCGCCTTCCTTGAGGCAGAGGTACTGGCTGCCCCAAGGCAAGCACTTCCCCTGTGGATTTATGTCATATCGGCTGTTCATACCTCACCTCTCATCTCTGAAGGAGACTCCGTTTATTTAAGCAGGACATACAGACTTTTCTATGATTTTTACTTTGAAAATGGTCAAAATACATTAAGAACCACACCAAAATCATAATCCAGAGGACAAATATTAATACAATACTCATGTTATTTTATTATTTCATTTCTTTTTCCTCTCATGATGACAGGGGAGGCACAGCCTCACCCGCCACCCCTGAATTCATGTCACTGATTCTGCCACGTTACTGCGGTCTGGCCAGCCTCCGCTCGCAAAGTTGAAGTCAAGCAAGCCGCCACAGCGATTGTTAATACTTTGCATTATGGTAATCTGCTGCCAGCGAGCGATGTTGGCCACCTTAAAAACAAAAATTGTGCAACTGATGCACGCACGTCAGTGGGTTGGATTTAAAATAATGCAATAAAATAATTTTTTAGCTCTCAGGCAACGACGAGTTCACTCAGGAAGAGTGAAAACTGTCTCAGCATAGCACCAAGAAGCACTCTAAAAAAATGAAGTCAACGTTAACTCAACATCAATGACTAAAATGTCACTTGAGTTAAAAAAAAAAATCATGAAAAAAATTAATTTTAGTTATCCCGTAACCTGACCAAGTACAGTATAGGGAACACTCGGCCAGCCCAGGTATCCAACCACAGTACTTTCATTATGATCTAATGTTGCATTTAAAAATAAAAGGCCTCTGAAATCTGACATTTTGACCCTTTAAGCTGATTACATTTTTTTTTTTTAATTATTACAAAGTTAACTTTAGTTATCCCGCAACCAGACCAGGTCTAGGGAACACTAGGCCACCCCAGGTAACCAACCATAATACTTTCATTAGGATCTGATGTTGCATTTAAAAATAAAAGGCCTCTAAAATCAGCACTTTTGACCTTTCATTCAGATTTGGTTTTGCATAAAAAATAAACCCCCAAAAAAAAAAAAACTGCTGAAATCGGCAATTTCAACCATTGAACCTTATTTATCTTACAACCAGTCTAGTCCTGGGGGACATACTTGTGTATAGATCTGTTGTTTTATTTGAAAATACAGTTCCATGGAAATTATTGGTTGTCATAATTTCACTACAGTAAATAACGGTTAAAATTGGCATTCAACCATAATCTTTTTTTCCTGTGACGTATTGCACGAATACAAAATTCCTGATTAAAATCTGATTTTGCATGTGAACGTATAACTCATTCTTATTCTTAACACAAGTGGGTTTTATACAAAAGCTAACCCTGAATTTACCCCTTAAATACAATGAATGTTGTCTTTTTCATGATTCACTATTTTTTCAAAAGCTTGGAGATCAAACAACATCAGATCTTATTGGAAGTACAGTACTATGGTTGGGATACCTGGGGTGGCCTCGTGTTCCCTTGACCTGGTCTAGTTCCGGGATAACTACAATCCTTTTTTTTTAACGTGTGATTTTTTTTTTTTTTTTTTTTTAATCACGTGAAATTTTAATCATTGATGTAGCGCTAACATTGACTTTATTTTGTCAACTGCGGCTGGTTTGACTTCAATTTTGCGAGTTGAGGCTGGCCTGACCGCAGTAATTCAAATCCTGCACCGAATTGATTGCACAATTTCATGTTGCCTCACACTGCCCATGCACAAGGGGATCGCATTTAGATTCTGGGTAAAACTTCAGGATAAATGAGAATGCACCTAATGACCTGAAACAATTGAAGGCATACTAACTGTTCAAAATTGCGGTACTTGTTGCATAACACGCTGCTCTCTAGTAAACAGCTGGATGTCTGCTCTCTGCAGACATGTATCTGTACGTCCTGGCACTCGTCGTGTTCTACTACGTGTACCGCTGGCTCAGGGAGCTGCCCAGGGTCTCTGACAAGGGCGACAAGTATGTGTACATCACCGGCTGCGACACAGGCTTTGGAAACCTCCTGGCCCGTCACCTGGACAAACTGGGCTTCCGAGTCATCGCCTCCTGCTACACGGAGAAGGGCGAGGAAGAGCTGAGGAAGTCGTGCTCCGGAAACTTGACCACAACACATCTGGACGTTCGATCGAATGAAAGTGTCACCAAAGTTGCAGCGATGATCAAGGACAAAGTGGGGCAGCGTGGTGAGTGTGCAGCAACCGTTGGAAAATAACCAAGTACAAATACTTTGTTTCTGTAATTTGTCAGGCATCTGTATTTCACCTAAGTATTTACAGGTATTTTTTGGATGACTTATTATTTTACTCCCTTTATTGGAAAACATCTGTAGTTTCTCCTCCTTACTATCTCAAAATAGACTTGTTACACCTGTCATATCTGTTCTGTGACAGGGGTTCCAAACTGGGGTCCGCGAGTGGTAACTTGGAGGTCTGCAAAACAATTAAGAAATTATTGTCGTATCATTAAAAAAAGTGCATAAATACAGATGGCAACAGGGGTCAATAAAACACACACACACACACACACACACACACACACACACACACACACACAAACACACACACACACACACACACACACACACACGCACACACACACACACACACACACACATAAACCCATTCCTTCTCCCTAGTTGAGCTTTAATTTGGACAATTTAAAACTCATATTGTGACATATCACACCTGAGAGTTTTGCATGAATAGTTTTTTCTGTCTTTTTTTTAAACTGAAGGCATTTAGTGGAGAAATAAAGTCCCATTTTTTTTTTTTAAACTGAGAACCAAAAGACATTTTTTTGTAGTCGCAGCCTTATTTTTTGAGAGAATAGTCGTATCTTTTCCAGAATAAAAGGTGAAATGTTATGAAAGAAAACATGTATTTTTTAAGAGGAAATATGACTTCCTTCCCTGATTTTTATCAAATACTCTCGTACAGTGCTGTGATCATCATGGGCAAAATATCACTTTTTTTATTCTTATGATTACAACTTCTCATCCCAACATAATTCATATTTGTCCTTGTAAAGACTATTTTTTTTTTTTACTTGAAGAAAATACAACTTTACCTTACAACTTTTTTTTCTGGAAAATAAGAAACTTTTTCATTCCTATGGCATTAAGAGGTTGTGATGGTAGTTTTATTTATCATTTGGATTTTGAGGAAGGTCCTTGGCAAAATGTCTCCCATTTAAGGGGTCCTGGACCCAAAATTTTTCAAAATCCTTGATCTATGATACACAGTACATGCAACTGCGGAGAGGTTGATAAATCATTTGTTTTACCGATCGCCACTATCGAAGATAAGTAAAAATATCCGTCATGCAGTACAGAAAACAGATATCTGGAAGGTGCATTGCTTTAATTGTATTCATTTGAAAACTTGTCAAGTTGTCCCAATCACTGATGGTGTCATGCTTGGCTCATGACTGGCTTCCTTTTAGGCTGAACGGGTTCGGTTCCCATCCAGTGATGGCATGAATGTGAGTCTGAAGTGAGGTCTGTCTGTCTGTATACGCCCCAGGACTGACTGGCGACCAGTTTAGGACATCATCTGCTTTTTGTCCAAAATTCAAATGGCATAGATTGCAGCTCCCCGTGACCTTGAAAAGGAAAATCTATAAATACAGTTGAGTTGAGTTAAGTTGAGAAAAGTACTGTTGAAAATGTTGGATGGATGGATGGATGGATGGGGTTTTACCCAGTGGTGTAGTGGGGATATTTTAAGTGGGTGTACGCGATTCTGGGATGTTCTATATATACATACAGAACATCAATCATAGGCTACATCACCAGTTGAACTAACGTTAAATTTTTTTTTTTTTAAACTGAGAACCAAAAGACATTTTTTTGTAGTCGCAGCCTTATTTTTTGAGAGAATAGTCGTATCTTTTCCAGAATAAAAGGTGAAATGTTATGAAAGAAAACATGTATTTTTTAAGAGGAAATATGACTTCCTTCCCTGATTTTTATCAAATACTCTCGTACAGTGCTGTGATCATCATGGGCAAAATATCACTTTTTTTATTCTTATGATTACAACTTCTCATCCCAACATAATTCATATTTGTCCTTGTAAAGACTATTTTTTTTTTTTACTTGAAGAAAATACAACTTTACCTTACAACTTTTTTTTCTGGAAAATAAGAAACTTTTTCATTCCTATGGCATTAAGAGGTTGTGATGGTAGTTTTATTTATCATTTGGATTTTGAGGAAGGTCCTTGGCAAAATGTCTCCCATTTAAGGGGTCCTGGACCCAAAATTTTTCAAAATCCTTGATCTATGATACACAGTACATGCAACTGCGGAGAGGTTGATAAATCATTTGTTTTACCGATCGCCACTATCGAAGATAAGTAAAAATATCCGTCATGCAGTACAGAAAACAGATATCTGGAAGGTGCATTGCTTTAATTGTATTCATTTGAAAACTTGTCAAGTTGTCCCAATCACTGATGGTGTCATGCTTGGCTCATGACTGGCTTCCTTTTAGGCTGAACGGGTTCGGTTCCCATCCAGTGATGGCATGAATGTGAGTCTGAAGTGAGGTCTGTCTGTCTGTATACGCCCCAGGACTGACTGGCGACCAGTTTAGGACATCATCTGCTTTTTGTCCAAAATTCAAATGGCATAGATTGCAGCTCCCCGTGACCTTGAAAAGGAAAATCTATAAATACAGTTGAGTTGAGTTAAGTTGAGAAAAGTACTGTTGAAAATGTTGGATGGATGGATGGATGGATGGGGTTTTACCCAGTGGTGTAGTGGGGATATTTTAAGTGGGTGTACGCGATTCTGGGATGTTCTATATATACATACAGAACATCAATCATAGGCTACATCACCAGTTGAACTAACGTTAAATTTAATGTTTTACTACTCCAAAATAATCACAGGCAAACGTTATTAAGCATAACTCGCATTAGAACAATGATCAACAAACATTTCAATAAAAATTGAATGTGGCGTCGGGAGAAGTGGGTGGACGGCGTACCCCCGCGTACCACGCCCACTACACCCCTGGTTTTACCTCCTCCCCACCATGTTGTAGAAACGGATGCCACACTTCTCCACAGCCATCCATTTTCAATAGCTCTCGTCCTCATTGAGGCCTAATAATGCAGGGCCAGCTTCAGGTCAAAATGAATCATTATTCTTTTTCTAAAGGCTGCTATGCACTGAATCTACACTGACTTCCTCATGTGCCCTCTCAGGCCTGTGGGCCATAGTGAACAATGCAGGTGTGTCTGTGCCCTCGGCCCCATGTGACTGGCTGACCATTGATGACTACAAGTCCATGCTGGACGTGAACCTAAACGGGGTGATCGCGGTGACTCTCAGCGTCCTGCCGCTCATCAAGAAGGCGAGGGGCAGGGTGGTCAACGTGGCCAGTGTGTTTGGGAGAATTAGTCCCACCGGGGGCCCGTACACGGTGTCCAAGTATGGCGTGGAAGCTTTCAACGACAGCCTCAGGTGATACCCGTATTGTGTTTTATTGTTTTTGTTATTGTAAAGTGTCCTTGGGTGTCTTGAAAGGCGCTTATAAATAAAATGTATTATTATTATTATTATTATACTGCGGGCATAGGACAACATTTCTGAGAGTTTGCAAACTAGCACTGATGAGACTGGCTTTTGTCCCTTAGGCTAAATATGGCACCCTTTGGTGTCAAGGTCCTCTGCATTGAACCGGGCTTCTTCAAAACAAACGTGACTGATGCTGCAATCCTGAGTAAGAACGTGAAGTCGGTGTGGGACAAGATGCCGCAGGAGGTCAGAGACGACTATGGACAGGAGTACCTTCAGAAATGTAAGATTGGCTTATTTATTCAAGTGCTTTTTCCAGTTTGAAAAGTTGTTTCACCTGTCTTCTTCCACCCTTTACAGCATTAGCACTCTTAACAGACAAAGTTGCAAAGCTATCAGACGCAGACCTGATGAAGGTGGTTAACTGTATGGAGCATGCGGTCTCGGCCGTTCGGCCACGCACCCGCTACTCGCCAGGATGGGATGCAAAATTGTTCTGGCTGCCGCTCTCCTACATGCCAACCTGCGTCTCCGGCTACATTCTGAGCAGAGAAGCCATTCCGATTGCCAAGTCAATGCAATAAAGTGTTAACATTTTAAACACAATTTGATAATAGCAGTCTGTGTCCAAAATGTAATTGCAAGAAATGTGTACCTTTTTTTCTTTTTCCCTACTGAAATTATAAAACTAGTTGTCCCTCTCTCTCTCCCCCTCTCTTCCTTCCTCCCTCTCCCCAACTGTCTCTCCCATGGTTACACTATGCCATATTGAAGGCCTTATCTGAAGGAAGCATATGTTCAGGCCAATGTACATCCCCTTAGTGATAAGCCTGCGTTAAAGGTTGGGGGTACGTACGACTCAGTAGGTCAATAAAAAGCATTCCATGCAGCATGATTACATTTCCTTGTACATTTTACAAAAACAAGGATGCAAGGGCTCTTTTTGGGAAAGATTTACCCTCTTAATATCCTGCAAAGTACCCTCTTCCAGATAAAATAAATACTTGTCCAACTTAACTCCATTTGTGGATAACCTCATTGGATTGCAATGTTGTTTTGTTAAGACTGCAGCTGCACTACACAAAAGAAAAGACACATGCTATTAGTTTGTCATTTTATTTATGCCACAGCCGTTCACAATGATGGCTGCTTGACATGGCTCATGAGCGACATCTGGTGGTAAGCATAGGTACAAGACTCGCTAATAGGAAATACAGCTGACGAATTGTGTAAAGACAGTTTTTTTTAATTCCATCGGTTTTTTTTTGCAAATTGAGACATTAAATATAACTCTTCATGATGACAAGACAGATACATCTGTATTTGGACATTACAAACCAAGTGCTCCTAACAGCTGGACCCCTGCCTATTTCTTTGTTTTCATCTTCGTTCCACAATAGTACAATTGTTCAAGCCTTTAGGAGTGCTCCTCAGCCAGTTTCTCAGCCTTCTGGACCACTTCCTCGATGGGGCCAACCATGTAGAAGGCCTGCTCGGGCAGGGGGTCGTACTCGCCTAAGGAAGACCAAGAAATAAAAACAATTAGAATTTTGAGAAGTCCATTCAGGAAAGGGGCATACATAAGCTTTCACACTCACCTGCAAGAATGCTCTTAAAGCCCTTGATGGTCTCCTTTAGGGGTACCAGCTTGCCCATGTGGCCCGTGAAAACTTCAGCCACTTGGAAGGGCTGCGACAGGAACCGCTGGATCTTGCGCGCACGGGCCACTGTTAACTTGTCCTCCTCAGACAACTCATCCATACCCAGGATGGCGATGATATCTTGAAGGGATTTGTAGTCCTTCAATACAAAAATAAATTAATTGCTGGAGTTTAGATTAGGGGTAAATTAAACCAACAATCAATTTGGCTGGGTTCATATTAAAACGTCGGACCTGAAGGATTTTCTGCACACCGCGGGCAACATCGTAGTGCTCAGCTCCGACAATGTTGGGATCCATGATTCGGGAGGTCGAGTCCAGGGGGTCCACAGCAGGGTAGATGCCCAGCTCAGCGATGGCACGAGACAACACAGTGGTGGCATCCAAGTGAGCAAAGGTGGTGGCAGGGGCAGGATCAGTCAAATCATCGGCAGGCACATAAATGGCCTGAAAAGGAGAGGAATTATTTTTATAATTCATAAAATAAAACGTGAACGTTGAACATACCTGAACTGACGTGATAGACCCTTTCTTGGTGGTGGTGATCCTCTCCTGCATAGTACCCATGTCTGTGGCCAGAGTAGGCTGGTAACCCACAGCAGAAGGGATACGACCCAGCAGGGCAGACACCTGACAAGTCAAAAAGTTAAACCAAATCCAACTTCGATACATATCACAGCTGTGAAGAAAGTACTGACCTCAGAGCCAGCTTGTGTGAAGCGGAAAATGTTGTCAATGAAGAGCAGCACGTCCTGACCCTCTTGGTCACGGAAGTACTCGGCCACAGTCAGCCCGGTGAGAGCCACTCTGGCACGAGCGCCAGGGGGCTCGTTCATCTGTCCGTACACCAGCGCCACCTAGGAGGGGACGATGTGAATGGAAGATCATGAAACTTAAAAAAGAGAAAAAAAAAAACTATCAAGGTGAGGACTGTCACATCGGCTCACCTTGGAGGTGGTGTCCTTCAGGTTGATGACACCGGACTCAATCATTTCATGGTACAAGTCGTTTCCCTCACGGGTGCGCTCACCCACACCGGCAAACACAGAGTAACCACCATGGGCCTTGGCCACATTGTTGATTAGCTCCATGATCAGCACAGTCTTGCCTACACCAGCTCCGCCAAACAACCCTGAAAAAAAGTGATCAAGGTTTACAATCTAATTTCGTTCAGCAAATTAAAATCTATTTATCATGCACATACCAATCTTTCCTCCCTTGGCATAGGGGGCCAACAAGTCGACCACTTTAATGCCAGTAACAAGAATCTCCTGCTCCACACTCATGTCAGTGAATTCAGGTGCTTCAGCATGGATGGGTGCAGTCCTGCAAATAGAATCAAAATAGCTTGTTAGCAAATCCATTTGGGGAAGCAAACTTTGTATCACATGCATGATAAGTTGTGATATTTAAAGTCATCTCCGAAATGAACTTACTGCTTTGTGGAGATGGGGCCCCTCTCATCAATGGGCTCGCCAATGACATTCATAATCCTGCCCAGGGTTTCAGGGCCGACTGGGATTCTAATGGGGGCCCCAGTGTCCAGAACCTTCTGTCCACGGACCAAACCTTCAGTACCATCCATAGCAATGGTGCGCACAGTGTTCTCACCTACACAAAACAAGGTTCAAGTTTAATCCCAACCCCAAAGAGCGGACTTGCCATGTCTTTTTAAGAAACAAGACAGTTATAAGTCCGACCACTCACCAAGATGCTGTGCCACCTCCAGAACTAGCCTGGATTCTCGTCCAGCAACCTCCAGGGCATTGAGGATGGGTGGAAGGCCCTCATCAAACTGGACATCCACCACAGCACCGATGACGGCCACAATGCGTCCAGTGGCAACACTGGCGGCAGCCACAGGCGCGACATAGTTTCTGCCTGTGAGAGAAACACCCACACCGATCAATTTACAGCCATGACCTTGTATTCACATTGGCATGCTGTGGACAGATAAACCAAGAATGCGGCACATCTGGAAGCTAGGGGCCAATGTAAAAATTAATTTGCTGTCCTGTGATCCAAATACCCTCTATCTATCCCTCCATCATCCGTGCTGCTTATCCTCCGGGGTACACCCTCAACCAGTTGCCAGCTATCGCAGAACACACAGAGACAAACAACTATTTTCACTCACAATCACACTTGGGGACAATTTAGAGCAGAGGTGTCAAACATATTTTTGTCCCGGGCCACCAAGGAGTTACGTCTTTCGTTATGACAGTGAAACCAAATAAATGTTAAATCATCTCATTATATTATTACTTGTACACAACAAATTGATGGATTACTAGTTTTGAAATCAGTCCAATCAGCTATAAGAGGTTGTCAAAGTGAGTGTCAACTGGGTAACATAATTATTGTAAAATGTCAACGGTATTAATTACACATGACAAGATTCTTGCAAGGATCATACAAGTTGATACACGATTTGCTTTAGCGGGCCATATAAAACGATGTGGCAGGCCGGATCTGGCGGCCCAGGCCTTAGGTTTGACATCTGTGATTGAAAGCGTTCCATTAGCCTACTGTGCAGGTTTTGAGAATGTGGCAGGACAGCGGAGAAACCCCACGCAAGCACGGGGAGATCATGCAAACTCCACAAAGGAGGCCCAGAGCCCGGAATCGAATCACAGACCTCTGCACCGTGAGGCGGGCGTGCTAACCAGTCGATCACCGTGCCGCCTAATAACCTTTATAAAGGCTCAAATTAACACTCGATCAACATTAAAACGCATTATGCAACAAAGCTACGCAGGTGATTGACTTAAGCTGAAGCTGTCAGATGAATGAAATCCAGCCGACGCTAACGTAGCTATCATTTCGGCAACATGGTGAGAGAGCTGCCCGTTAGTTTTCATTCTACTCAATCACGTAACAAAATAAGTTTTCATCACTCGATGTATCATATTGAGAAACGTTTAGAAGTTGCACTCCGGGCGAGAAACAAAGCAAATACGCCCAGCCTATAACGCTAGTCTAGCAGCCACCTCATGTCATTAGAGAAAGGTCATTTATGCGAGCACAGCCAAACCTGTGTCAAAACATCGTCCAACACATGCGATTTGCCAAGAACAAAAATGTGCATTCGCTTCTGGGTTATGTGTACTTTTGAGAGCCGTACCTCATCTCTTACTGTACAAATGAATCACAAGGCCTGTCAAGCCGCTCGGAAGGGCAGCCAGCGTGTGGCTAACAGCTAAGGTTAGCCTAGCTTGAGTCGTCCCTTTGAAAGCCACTTTATTGCATCTTCTGAGCATGCGATTTCGCCCAACACCACCAAGCTTGGAGGGACTTACGCGAAAGGACGGCAGGTGATCCAACGAGGGCCTTCAGGGGGTGTACCCCAGGCTTTATAGCCTGCAGTGCCCCGGTGCAGCAGCGTCCAACAGCTCCTAACATGATCAAAATGGCTGAAGGTGGAACGAGCAAGGAAGAACTCTGGGCTTTATTGAGTATGCACTAAAGCAAACTGCGCTTGCGTGACACGTTCAGCGTTTCTTGCGCGTGCGCACGACGACTTGCGATCACTCAGGCGCATGCGCAATTGTAAAACCCATGCTACTGACATTCTGCCCTCCATAAAACTTCCCGTCATGCATATTGTTTCTGCTAAGTGACCTACAACTCATTTAAATAAGGTAATTACTGTGCATTACTTTCTGTGCCACAACGATACACTACGAGTCACTACATACACTATATTTACACCAGTAGCGTGCAAAGAATGGGGCCAACGGGATATCCACCACAGCACCTCCCTTCCACCCCACCGGTCATGGTCGTCGATGATCCTGTTTTTGGGCAAGATTGAAGGGGCATCCATCCATCCATCCATACCACTTAACCTCACTAGGGTCGCATGTTTGCTGGAGCCAATCCCAGCTGTCAGCACAAGAGGCAGGATGCACCCTGAACTGGTCGCCTGCCAACACATTTAAAAAAAATACCGAATTGATCAAACCCTTTACAGGACACGGTGGATGATTGTTAAGCACGTCCAAATCACGGTTCTGAGCTTGTGGATTCGAGTCTGGGCATCACCCTTCCTCTGTGGAGTTCGCATAGCATTTTCCTCGTTCCTGCATGGATTTTCTCTGGGTACTCAAGTTTTTTCCCACATTCCAAAAATACATTTGGTAGGCTGACTGCACTCTAAATTGTCGTTAAGTGTGTTTGTGAGTGTGAATGGTTGTTTGTCTATCTGTGCCCTGTCATAGGCTGGCGACCAGATCAAGGGTGTACCTCGCCTATACTACCTGAAGATAGCTGGTATAGGCTCCAGCAAACCCCCGATCCTAGTGCAGTTAAGTGGTACAGAAATGGATGGATGGAAATTCTTTCTAGCTAAATATAAAAATATATTTCATTTGAATAATAAAAAAAAAAAATCTTACCTTAGGTCCATCAATGGTCAAAGCAATCAGTTTGATGATGTCATATCTGAGTCTGACGTTTTCCTCTTTGCTCGATCTCTAAAAAAGTTTGTGATTAAAATGGTTTAACATTTAAAAAAAGGAAGACACAAAATCGTACGGAAAATTGTGACTTTCAACTCTTTCAGTCAGTTATGTTTGATATGGATAGAGTCAGGTATAATCATGGCATCTTGAAAGTCATAATTTTGTGGCCCCCCACAAGCTCCCCATGCCTTGGGACGTCCATCAAAATCGTATAAAAGTTACATGTTACAAAGACGATTGCGATGATGACAGCATGGCTGGTGGGTGATGAGATATAGCCGAGTACAGTGACGTGTTTATTTTCCACTAGAGTGCGCCAATGTACCACAAAGATGCAGAACCATTATGAGCGCACAATCTGCATACACATTCTACCAGTTGCATTAATTTATTTTAAAACTATTGGGCATCTCTCTTTCTCTCTCTATCTATCTATCTATCTATCTATCTATCTATCTATCTATCTATCTATCTATATATATATATA